TTAGCTCCACCCACAAAGACATTTTGTGGTTAATGGTAAAAACTGACTTGTATAAAGTCATTGGAGGACATCCCAAACCTTGACCTCCACCTAGAATTTCTTAATGACATATAGTAATAGAATAAGCAGGTCTGAGTAGTATGGTAGGTATGTGTACTAAGCTAAATCTAATTTTAAATTACTAATCCATTTGAACTATGCAGCTCACATTACGGAGGATGGAGGATTGAACGTTGCATATGTAGAGACTCAATAAAATTCATTACGTAAATGAATCACGAGTACATAAATACCCTATGCAGCAGTGGCGAATTCAATGCTCACATTCCCTCACAGAGCTTCCAGGCTAGTGAGGGAGACGAGGCAATTCTAAAGAATTCTTTGACAGAAAAAACCCAAAAGCCTCCAAGATGCTGTAGAATCAGACCAGAGGACACCCAACTCAGATGTGTGGTAACTGGGAGGACTTCCAGGAAGAAGTCAAACCGAAATGGGATCCTGAAGCATGTGTAGGTGTTAGCTATGGGAGTGGTCGAAGGGAGGGAAGAATATTGCAGAGAGAGGAGAGCCCACCCAGGCTTAGAGGTTGGTGTTTATCCTAGAGCAATGGGGGCTGTTGAAAGGTTTAAGCAGATCAATGATCAGGTTTACATTTTATTTATTTATTTATTTTTTAAGATTTTATTTTTTCCTTTTTCTCCCCAAAGCCCCCCAGTACATAGTTGTATATTCTTCGTTGTGGGTCCTTCTAGTTGTAGCATGTGGGATGCTGCCTCAGCGTGGTTTGATGAGCAGTGCCATGTCCGTGCCCAGGATTCGAACCAACGAAACACTGGGCCGCCTGCAGCGGAGCGCGAGAACTCAACCAGTTGGCCACGGGGCCAGCCCCCAGGTTTACATTTTAGAAAAATCATTCTTCATTTGGAACTCATTTCTTATTAATACTCTCTACTTAACATTTTGCAAATGAGGGTGGCTGTAACTGGATGCATTACTGTTGTCTTGTAAATTGGGAGTGGAATATCGACACTATTACATAGTGCATGTGGTTGTATTTTAAATCACCATGATGCATATGAAATAATAATGACAATTATCATTATTATAAATAGCAAGAAACATCTATTACCAGAGTGCCAGGAACAGTGCTAAGTTTTTTATAAATTATCTGATTTAATCCCTTTGAAAATTAATTTTTACCAGAATGATTGATTGATTGATTTCTCTAAAACTTTATACTCAAGAACCAGGCCGTGAGAGACCAAATGCCAGGCAGACATCATGACCCAGTTTGTGTGTATGTAGAAGCTGGGTACTGGTTTAGTCTCTTGCTGAAGGGCTATTTGCTGTATGTTAGTTCAATGTTTAAGGAATTTTGAAATAAGTCCTGTTAGTGTCCCCTTTTTATGGGTGGGAAGAGTAGATTTAAAGCACTTGCTTAGGTCATACAGGAAGCAAATGGCAGTGTCGGAATTGCAGTGCTGCCTGTAAAAGGAACTTTAAGTTTAACCAAATTAGTTAGGAATAATGATAATTAAAAACTTAGACTTAGTGACATTGGAATATCTTCGTTTTAATGAAGAGTCTTGTGGAAAAGGTGAACTAAAACTATTAAGAAGGTGACAAGATTAGCTTCGTATTTTGAGGGATCAGAATTGGCCACTCCAAAGTGTGTTTCTTTGACTTGATCATTTTTAAGAACAAAAGTCTCTGAAAGAAACTTTGACCTTCCCCCTAACTGCCTAAAAGAATTTAGAATGGAAGGCCTGCTGCAGGAAGAAACTAGCACCATAAGATAACTATAGGACAGTATGAACTAGATGTGCTAGACAGGGGAAACCTAACAAAGGCCCTTTAATCAAAGCCCTTTCCATCTCTCATTGTTTTTGCAAAGCACAGTCAACATTTGTCACCAAACATCTGCTTTCCCATCTCCATGTAAATTGCCTTCCTCCTCTTTGACCTCCCAAACCACTGTCCGCAACATCCTCTTTTGTCTTTAACTAAAGATGGCATTTAAGGTGGCAGCTTCAGCCATTTTGGTGAGTTACTCAGTTTTCCTGGGTTTCCCCCATGTATACACATTATTAAACTTTGTTTGATTTTCTCCTGTTATTCTGTCTCACATCGATTTGATTCTTAGACCAGCCAGGAGAACCTAGAGGGTAGAGGAATAGTTCTTCCTCCCCTGCAGTGATGGAGGGTTGTGAATCATGGGGTAAAATAAGGAGTTTGCCAATACCTTGGACGGGGGATAGGATCTGGACGATTTGGCCAGTGGCATATCTAGCCTATGTAATAATACCACAATACTCACATACATGGGATTTTATCCTAGTTAAATAACCCAAGCTACTTCTCCAGTATATGTTACCAGCCTTAATCATGTTTTATTAGTGTGTGGCCCTATTTGGGAAATCCTAGATCATCTCCTAATCTCATGTGTGATGGCTGCTTTAGAGGAAGATAACATTGTTCTCTTGTTAATTGCCTGCTTATCTGGGCTGACATTTCTAAACCCACACAGAAAGCCCATGACTTTCTGTTCAGGAATATTTTAGTACAGCTAAATGAGCATATAACTGTTGACATACTAAATAAAAGAGTTGACTCACACATTATCCTGGAACCAACGCTGTATTCTTAGATGGTGTCACCTTACAGAGCTCGGATGTCCTTAAAAAGAATCTGCCTCTTCCTGGACTCTCATGAACTTCTGCATCCTACCTCTCTGAGACTGGGGGCCTGCTAAATGGTAACAATCCGAAAATGAGATGCCATGTGGGAATACTAACCACGATAGGCTAAAGAAAGCAAAGCACGTCCTCGAGAATAATTGGATTTAATGTCTTATTCATAAAACAGACTTGAACTGGAGGGGAAGACTAAATTGATTTTTCTGTGACTCACTGGCTGTGCCCACAGAAACCAAGCGCTCCTCCGGCTCCTGCAGCAGTTGCCATCATGGATATCGTGCCGTGTCGGTAGCTCGGCTTCTCGTATGACAGCCCTCTCGCTCCCCTCTTTAGCTCTGGTTGTAGCACAGGCCGCAAATAAATTGCTAACATTTAAATGCATCTGTTGCAAAGACAGAAGCATAGAGGACACTGGGGAAATTTCAAACCAAATTTCAGGACTGAGCTCATAAAAGCATGCACCATCTGTGGAATTTATGCATCACTATAATGGGGAGAGGGGCAATAGAGAAGGGAAAAGAGAGAGAGAGAGGATTGCCGAGTAACTGGATTTAAAACTAAAGTGTCTCTTCACAGATCAGTTCACAGGTGGCATCTGGGCCAGGCAGGATCCCAGATACCTTGCCTCGCACTGAGAGTTCTGGCTGGTGGGGACTTAATCGCATGAATAGGTTACCTCAAAATCATTGTGCCCCTGAGTTTAAACACAGCGGTCCCCCACCCTCACTTTACTAGTGCTGTGGAAAGATCCAAGATTTTTCCGTCTCTCTTCCTGCCCATTTGCTTGAGGGTGGGGCTGAGTCCAGCTCTTTCTCTCCCATCATCCGTGTGGCAAAACAAAAACAGAAACAAAAAAACCCCAGATCGTTTTCGGATAAGCACTTTACATTTCTATAGCGCAGGAAAAGGGAAGTTCCTTCAGAATCCCTTTATAGATGATCGCTTTCATTGTCTAACGAGCTCTCCATTGTTGGTGATTTTCATTTCCCTCCACAGTTCAGGGCACTTCGGCAAAAAATTTCTATTCAGCACTTTTCCACTCATAATTCAAGAAAAAAGAGTCATGCAGTATAATAAGCATAATTAGCTCCGACTGCAAATAATAAGCTTGGCACCGCAGAGCCCCTCCACTGCACACACTATCTATTTATCGTTTTGTGTACTCTCTGTCAAGGCTAATTACTACTTCCGTAATTACTAACCTGTTGAAAGAACAAAGGATAATGCAATGCAGTACTTAAATAAATAACACTGTTTCTTCCAATACCATCTCAATAAAACTCTTTTAGAACAGGATCTGTCCTTAGGATCTTACAGTTAAAAACTGCCTTTGCTTGTCCTCAAAAGTATGATCAGCTATTAGAAGAATAATTTTCGGTGTGTATATATGAAAGTGGGGGTTGAAGTTCTTTAATTTAGGTTCTTGCAAAATAAAGATAGTTGGAAGTGATGGTCTCGTGCTTAATAAGGTTCAACACTTATGCTGCAAGTTTCCTTTTTATTAATTTGTTACCCTTGGCACAGGGTGGGAGCAAATGCGGTGTAAATGACCACATGCTTCCCCTGTTAATGTGTCTTCATCCAGACCAACAGACTCTTGTCTTCTCCCTCAGAGAAGAGATACTGCTGATTATGCCAAACCAAAGTGGAGAAATACGGAGACAAATATAGTTCTCTCTTTTTTTCTAGGGGTAATGCGCATTGGGAAGTTTTAAAACACAGGTTCTAATTTTCATCCGTTTCCTTCCTCATTGAGGGACCTGCCCGACCCTCCTTATTCTGCTCATGGCTGTTCTCTTTTTTCTACACATGCTCTGGATCCTACGTACTAGGAAACAATTCTAGCTCTTTTGGACTGCGCATGAGGGAAGAAGGTTGTGGATTCTGGCTTTTCGAGACAGTAAAGGCTGCTGTCTCAACTCACCAGCCTCCACCTCAAGAGAATTCTGAGACCTTGGAAATAGCAGTGTAACCACGGGCCCTCCAGGACCAGTTCAACTGACCCCATCTCCTATCAACAGAGTGATTAAGAGTTGCCTTTCAGAAAATGTGCAGTCACGTAGCCAGAGCATGCGCAGAAGAAGATATCTTGACCTGAAATGACTGCTGAAACAAAGGACCGGGACACGACCAACCCGCGCTTGAAAGTCAGACTCTTATCAGAAGAAAGGGATCACTCATTTAGGAAGATCCGGTGTAAAAATTCCTTCCCCACCTCATCACAAATGTTTAGAACCCTGTCATAAAAGTTGAGAACCTTGTCATAAATGTTTGGAACCTCATCACAAATGCTGGAAGCCCACCAATCAAAACCTGTCCTGCCAGCATTTCCATTTGCCAGCCTGTTCCCCCTGATCTCTTAAATTTTGCCCCAGATCCTGAATCGGGGAGACAGATCTGAGGGCACATGCCCCCTGTCTCTTTTCCCAAAGGCTGATGCTGTTATCAACTGGCCATTTACGCGCATCGGGCAAGACAGCCCCAATTTTGTGCAGTAACAGCAGGTTTACACAGAAGGGAGCGTCGACACCGGACTCACAGAGTTAGATGCATTTATTCTTCAACCCAAATGGTTTTCCTCCATTCATCTCTTATCAAAAGATAAAAATGAGAAATGTTAAAGAGATTGCTGAGTCATTGTCATTAATCTGTAAGGAGTTATAGAGAACAAGGAAGATTCTAAAACTGAGATGTCTGTCATTCTGGTTTCTAGAAAAAGAATAAAAGTGAATCTGGCCAAGGTGCTAGAATGGGTTATTTATGAGAAGAAGCAGTGATCACTAGGAGCTAGTACTGATTCGCTAAGAGCAAATCATGTCAAACAGAACTGATTTCTTTCATGGACAATGTCTCAGGCTTGCAGATAAGGAAATAAGCTAGACTTTGGACCTTCATTAAGAATCTCAAAAAACCGCCTGTAATAATCTCGTTGATGAGTTGGCAGATTATTAGCTGCATATTAGTACTAGCCATTATTGCTAGTTGTTATAATCAAGCTAGAAAAACTGGAAGTGTTTAGAGAGAAGAAAACAGGGCAACGAAACATTAGGCAATATATCTATGTGATATAATAGAAAAAAGCAGATTTTTTTGCCAGAAAAGAAAAAGTCTTTAAATATGAATAGAGTCATTATGTGGAAGGGTGATTAGACTTCTATATGGCATCAATGAGTAACACTTGGACCACACTGGCAAGAGTGACAGGGACCCAGATTCCAGTTCAACCATCAGAGCTATCCAAAGATGGAATGGGTTGCCTCAGAAGGTTCAGTGAATATCCCATTCCCACAGAAGCCATGTAGGGAATTTAAGGACCAGATGGACAGTCAACTAAAATGACTTTTGCAGTGGCTACTTTACAATAGAATAGAATTATTCAATTTACAGCATCTTCACATTTCTCCTTGTTTTAAATTCCTTCCAGGCAAGCTGAAGTCTGAGGCTCTGGATCAGAGTTTTGGAAGAAGGGGTTGAACACAAGTGGAACTGGTCTAGTCCAGGGCTTCTGAACGCTACATTTTGGAGGAAGGCCATCTTGGGAAGTTCCAAAGTACTTTGGAAAAGATTATGTTGAAAGGTAAGGTGGAGGAGCAGCGAGGACCTCATCAGAAGCAAAGTCTGTCACTGGCATTGGGTGACCTGTAGCTAGTGGAATGGAGTGATAGACAAAACTCTACAGCAATCTGTGTGGACAGAGGGAGGGAGCCTTCAGGGAAGTCTCCTCTAGACTTGACCTATCAATGGCAGGACACCAAGCCAGTTCCCAAATTATCACATTTTATCCTCACGGCTACCCATTTGGGTGAACAAGGAACACACTCGTGTCCCCATTTTTCAGAATAGGAACCTGGGACTCAGAGAGATAATGTAAAATTTCCCAAGCCATACTGCAAGCATAAGGCAGAGCCAGGCGTACAACATAGGTTTTCTTACTCCAGTGGACTGCATCATGCTGAGATAAATGTGAGAACACAGCAGATGGATAGTTAACAGAGATAAATGTATCTTACCTCCCTGGCATCCTCTTGCCCTGATTTCTATAATTTCTGTAGCTGTAAGTAACTGTAAAACCTTGTGGGTCTCCCCATGGATCCACTTGTTGGCCTACCTATCTGATACGTTTTTGAGGTAGAGTTCATCATGCTAACAATTCTTTTTTTGGACTCTGTCTTCAAATCATACTAGATGAACATTCATTTGCCCCTGTTTGTAATTACAGACTAAAGGAAATTGTCCCGGCCTCTGAGGAGTTGGACATCAGCAACTACTCATTTGCAATTAGACAGCTTACAGCTATCAATCTAAAAGTAACATGATGAGTTCTTTCTTAGTCTGCCGTCACATCCCAAAGTGGAGGCTGGGCCCACGTGTTTGGGAGTATTTTGGTTTACTAAACCACCTGGGTACCACTGTAATTATTTTGGAAAGAAAACTCTGCCTTACCTTCACATTTGCCTCTTTAATAGCAAACGCTTTATGGGATCATTTATTGGGGTAGATCAAATATTACCATTAAGAAACTACTGCTTATCCTTCTAAAAATGATTTTTTTTAAGTGGTAAAGACATAGCTACATATGCTATTAACAAAAAGCCATGAATATGTAAAGAGGGCAAGCTAATCACTCCTAGGCAGAAGTTATTTCAAAGAAAAACTAAACTTAACTGTTCTGTGATAATGAGAAGGGTGTATTTGACCTTACAGCATTCTAAGGAGGGCACCACGCTCTTTGGAACATGAGTCTCAGCTTCCCGAAGACTATGGAGACTAGGGTGGAGTTAGGGGAATGAGCAAGGAATTTTTCGGTAAAGCTTTCTTCCCTCCTTAGTTGAGCATTATCATGAGCTGTCAGAGGGGTAAAGAGGCTTATGAAGAGGGGCCCTAAAGCTTAATTCCTGGGACCTTTGTTGTGATTATTTTATGCGAGTATTAGGAGTTCTTGGAAGACTCTTGTCTAATTTGTCTAGCGTAGGTAATTACGTAATGAGGAAGGTAATTCTGAAAACCTTATGGAAGAAAGGAAACAGTAGTGTTTAGTTTAAACCAGCCTCTCAGAACAGCAAGTTGAACTTCCCTTGTCTTCTTCCTCTGCCTCTAAACGCCTTCTTCTTCCCTTTCCATCAATTCTACTCAATGGTCATGTTCCATCTCAATTTCCAGTTCACTCAAATATATATCTCTTTGCCCCATATCCCACTAATTGATGGAATCTGTGAGATTATCTCCTTGTTATTTAATACTACACGTTGTAGGAGGTATAAAAATTTGTTAGACACAGTCCTCATCTGGTTAGGAAGACTGTATCTGTGTAAAAATAGAGCCAACGAGACAAGCAGATAATTCAATGCCAGACAATGGTAAATTTCTGGCACTTAGCGCAGACAATTGGAGTGATATAAATTCAGAAAAAGAGACTCTTTGAGCTCAGGCAGTCAGGGAAGGCTTTTCAAAAACGAGAATCGAGTTGAGCAATCCGTGATGGCTCGAGTTCATCTAGAAGGCAAGTCTATGACACTATACCCAAGTGGCTTGCATACAAGTGTTACTCAAATGTGGCCTTTTTTTTTTTTAAAGATTGGCACCTGAGCTAACATCTGTTGCCAACCTTCTTTTTCTTCTACTTCTTCTTCTTCTTCTCCCCAAAGCCCCCAGTACATAGTTGTATATTCTAGTTGTGAGTGCCTCTGGTTGTGCTATGTGGGACGCCACCTCAGCATGGCCTGATGAGTGGTGCCATGTCTGTGCCCAGGATCCGAACCGGCAAAACCCTGGGCCACCGAAGTGGAGTGTGCGAACTTAACCACTTGGCCAAGGGGTTGGACCTAAATGTGGCCATTTAATTGTAAAATTCATTAGCCCATGCTACCTGCTTAGTCTATTTGTACATACTCAATACTCTTTGTTATTCCTCTATGCCCCAGCACATCTAAATGGACCTGTTTATGTAGAATTGTGCTACAATTGTAGTTGGATTCAGGATAGGAAGCCAGATGTAGGTGAGCCAAGGCAAAGTAGAAAAAATAATTGGAAGATTAACATGGAGGCCATTTCACTGAAAACATTTGAGCTGCCAGGAGCACCACAAAGTCAGAAATCAAGACAAAGAAAAGAGGATAAAATTCAACAAATATACTGGAACGAGGCAAGTCAAGATGTCAGCCATCATGTAGACATGAGATGCTAGGCATGTGCACTCCTTAAAACTAAGTCTGCCTTCCATAGACTGTCTTATAACCTTCATGCTGGAATAAAACTATGGCAAGAACTGGGTAGGCTAGACTCTGAAATAGGAAGTAGCTACTTAAGCGAGGAGGTAATTAGATTATGCTAGTGTAGTGAACGATATGGGGCAACACATAAAAGCTAATCTTCATACTCAATGTGCTTTTTGGGTCTCAACTAGTGTATAGTTTACTTAGCTCAATTCCAGATAGTAGAGCAAGAAAATCTGTGATATATTATATTTAAAAATTGGCTGTGGGGAAAAGTGGTCGTATTGGTCCTGAAATAGGCTAACTGGAGCTCTCAGAGGGCTGAGATTTGATCTAATCAACACCCCAGGACTACCACATGCCTGCTGGAACTTCCAGGTCAATTTTTCACATGCATCTGACTATAACATTCATCTCCTTAGTGTAGACAAACCTTATGATTTTCAATGAAAGTGCTCATGTAAGACCTTTAAAAACCAAGACCTGCATGTTCTTCATGAAAATGTAAGAGTCCCTGACATTTAGGGTAACAGAAGGAGTTGCTCTGATATTCTTTGCTAAATTTACAAGATTTGGCTAAACCCCCAAGCGTCTGTCCTATCACAGTGGAGTATTAGTCACTCTTTCAAAGATTCAGCGTACTGTACTCTGCTGGTGTGTGAGTGTGTTAAATGCCATGAACTATGTGACTGGTGGGCAGATCCATCTCCCAGATTCAAGCTCCAGCAATTTAAAAAAAGCTAAAAGTTTTTTTTTTTCAGTATTGACTCTGTGGAGTCATTTAGTTTAACTGAGCTGAGACCTAAGCATTTAAATCCTTTGTGAGAGAAAGAATAGAATAACAGAAGGGAATGAAAGTGTCCATTACAGTTGGAACAGTCTTTTAAAGACTGTCTAGTGGAGCCTTCTCAAAATGGTTTCCTGCTAGTTCTGAAGGTTGGCAACATATTACCAGGAGAAAGGTTCTGAGATCAAAGAAATTGTGGGACGTCAAGTTAAGCAAACCAAACAAGTTTCTTTGCTGTGGGACTTAGAACGTTTCCTACACTAATACGCATCGTAAATCGAGAGGGTCACAAGCTGATTTCACCAAGACTTTTTTAATTTTATGGACATAATGTTCTGAGAAATGCTGATTTATTTTCTTTTCAGAGAAGAGTGATGGAGGGCTTTGCCTAAAGTCACAAAACTACCTACGTACAAATAGCTAAAGAATGAGTTACGTGAATGAAGGGCTACCACGGTGGGATAGCATGACGAACAGGAGAAGGAAAGGAAGGTGGCCATTTCTGAAACAATTACTGGCTACAGATTTGAGGTTTTGAGATGCATTTGGCAAAGAGGCACGGGGACAGAGGAAGCACCCTATGCTGACCAGACTGGGTCAGTGTGTATGATGTATTGGACCCTACAAATCACTAGGGCAGGGCCCCACCTCCCAGCCACCAGAGAAACTCATCATCAGCTATCTTCATATTGACTATGATTTGCATGGATATTTTGGCCCCAAGAGCAGGACTGGATGGATATCCAGGGGGAGTGTGTGGACCTCCAATTAAAAGAGGGCATTGCTCTCAAAGAATGAACATTTGTGGTGGCTTATAAATCTTCTAGGAAATAGATAATACCGTGTACATCAGTAATACATTTTTGTTTGGTTTTAAATTCACACTGAAATATTTTTCCAAGCATGTCTGGAAAAACCCTGTAGAGAAGGACTTCACTTTCCACTAATAATTTTAAGAGGAAAAATTTACAGTAAGATTTGTGACCCACAGATCCCAAAGTGTTACATAAATAATACAGGAAACTGCAAAATGATCTTATGTGAAGTCACTCCACAAGATGCATGTTTAATTAGCACCTACTAATAAAACAGATGCATGTGAAATTATTTAGGCTGACATGTTCTATTCTGAACAATACGATATCAGCTCAGGATGCGGAGGGCATGCAACATAACCTGTTTTGAATTGAGCATTTTATCACCAAACAAAATAAGAGACAGCTTGTGTTTTATGTATTTCTGTACTACATCATTATCCAACAATAAATGCAAAAGTAAATTACAAAAAACAAACTTTCAGCAGGAAAAAATTTAAAGGCACAGATTTTTGGGGGGATTTAGCTGTTCAAGAATTTTATGTGAAAATTAAGAGATGGATCGATACCACATAGGTTATCTTAAAAGCAAAACTTTAGTCCTTTCCTTTGAACTTGACCACATTATTTGTCGTCTGTGAGAAGAACCACCTTTGAAGCATAGCCCAGAGCTTTCTTAAAGATACAACTCTCAAATTCAGAATTTCTTTTGACTTTGTAAAAACTCAAAAAGGAAGCTTTCTTTTGGTTGAAATAGGTTATCCTTCCCTCCGTTCACACACACACAGCCAAAGAAACAACCGGCAAATCAGATGGCGAAAAACAGCAAAAAGAGAATATATAGCAGGACTGCCCTTCAGAGGTTTTAGTCTCCAGGACTATCCTGGGAACTTCTGAGTGAGGGATTGCTTAATCACTTTTTGGCAACAACTCTGACATTTATGATTAGAATAAATGTCAAAGGCAGTCTTAAAGGGGAAAAGAAATTCCACAGAGTATTGCTTCTTGAGATATAAATATGGAAGGGTCAAAGAGCTGCTCCTCCTGCTTGCCTTGAGCCCATTCATGGTGATGACGATGGTTTATGGTGTGTATCTGACCCTTATATCTGTTTTGACTACAGGACCAGCTGTGTCACCTTTTTCTCATCCAGCAACGGCCTCTTCCTCTGGCCCCATCTCCCTCCCCTTTCAACCTACCCCTGCCCTTGTAAGTCACTGCAAGCTGCCAGGGGTCTCAGCCCTCCAGTCTCAGAGTGGGACCCTGAAATGAATTTACCGCTGGGCTAAAATGCATGAAAGAATCTGACTCTTACTCTAACCTTTAAGAATGATGGATTTGGAAATCAATAAGGAATTTGTTCCCTCCTTTCTCCATGCAAAATTTGGGAAACATTTTGGGTGCCTACTGTATTCAAGGTGCTGAGCTGGGTGCTCTCAGGTGAAATAGGCCTGATCTCAAGGAGGTTACCATCTAGTAAAGATCAGAATGAGAATTCTTTAGAGGATGAGGATGAGAAAGGAGCTAGAAGAACTTACAGATGTATGATTCCCTCCCCAGCAAGGCAGCCTATATCTTTGAAGTTAATCGGGTACGTGGAATCCTGGCCTAACTGTAGAGATGCATGGCATTGT